CATCCAGTACCATCAACGTCATCTAGAAATTGCTAAAGAAGTAGGAGACAAGGCTGGAGAGGGAAGAAGTTACGGCAATCTGGGCAACGCTTATCAAGGTCTAGGACAGTTCAAAACAGCCATCCAATACCATCAACGCGATCTAGAAATTGCTAAAGAAGTGGGAGACACGGCCGGAGAGGGAGTCAGTTATGGCAATCTCGGCAACGCTTATAACAGTCTAGGACAGTTCAAAACAGCCATCCAGTACCATCAACGTGATCTAAAAATTGCTAAAGAAGTGGGAGACAAGGTTGGAGAGGGGAGAAGTTATGGCAATCTCGGCAACGCCTCTGAAGGTCTAGGACAGTTCAAAACAGCCATCCAGTACCATCAACGTGATCTAGAAATTGCTAAAGAAGTGGGAGACAAGGCCGGAGAGGGAATCAGTTATGGCAATCTCGGCAATGCTTATAAAGGTCTACGACAGTTCAAAACAGCCATCCAGTACCATCAACGTCATCTAGAAATTGCTAAAGAAGTGGGAGACAAGGCCGGAGAGGGAAGAAGTTATGGCAATCTCGGCAATGCTTATCAAGGTCTACAACAGTTCAAAACAGCCATCCCGTACCATCAACGTGGTCTAGAAATTGCTAAAGAAGTGGGAGACAAGGCCGGAGAGGGAAGAAGCTATTGCTCTCTCGGCAGTATTCATTGGGCTCAAAGAGAGTTGAAGACAGCTTTTGAGTGTTTTCAACGTCACCTAGAAATATCCAAAGAAGTGGGAGATAAGACTGGAGAGGCGTGCTCACTCTGTTCCCTTGGAATCAGTTTTGAGTGCGAAGGAAATCTTATGATGGCCTTTGACTGTTATTACTCGAGTGTAGAATTGTATGATGATATCAGGGCCAGTCTTCAACTCAACGATCAGTGGAAGATTTGTTATCGTAATTTACACCAAGGAGCATACAAAGGTTTGTGGCGTATAAATCTCAAGCGAGGTCAAGTTGTGAAGGCCCTTCTTGCCACAGAGAAAGGGCGTGCTCAAGCTCTGAGAGATCTCATGGTCACAAAATATCAGCCTGAAGATTCTTTAACCCCTAGAGCATCCCGCATTTCTCTGAGGTGGGTTCCATTGAGCACAGTTTTCATAGCTATT